TCCATAAACAATATATACCTTCATTGTCAGTCCTGAACACAAAGATCCGCTGACTCGTCACTATTTCAAATTTATTGTCTTTGGAGGGACGGGTCATCTGGATGGCAGCCAATGGGATCACGCCCTTCGGGTAGATATCCTGAGAATGCACAGGTGGAATGAATCAGACGGCTGTGTTTGATTGTCAGGTGTTGTAACACCAGGACAGTAAAGCCCTCTGCATACCTTCTCACTGCCAAAGTACATCAGGTTTTTGCCATCAAACTTCACATAGCGTTTCTGGAAAACATAGTTCCTGAAAAATAAAAACATGCATGAGACACCTGAGTGGTGAAACACATCACATTCATGACATCTGCTCCACCTGATGCAGTCCAGTATCCAGCTGTAAGTGCAGCTGTGTGTCGCACCACTTCAATATTATATGATTCTAACCTGTATCTCCTCACAGTAATCAGATTAGTTCTAAGAAGAACAATATTAGAGTAGTATTGCTCTTATGTCACATTAAAACTACCTGGAATATTTTCTATCTCTGTGAAGTCTCAGATTTTTCAGTTCCTGTGATCAGGTCTCTTCCATGCAGAACCTGTGTCTGTGCAGATAGACACAGTCCATAGGTCCAACCCTGAGAAGCTTCTGATGTTCACAGCTCACTTCAGAACCGTGATCATACAGGTAGACTGATTGGAACTCAGTTTAGGTTCAGGGACCACGACTTCAAGGTGGATTCACTTTGGTTGGATTGAGTTTAGACTTTTCAATGTAGTCTTCCTCAAGGATTTGTTTTTCATTTTTTAACAGAGGAAATAGTGTCAAAATAACGACAGCTGAAGCGGTTACACTAAGGTAACACAGTGTTGAATGATTTGGCATTCATGTCGTATTATTCAGGGCTTCAGAAGCTTTTGGAGGATGAACTCTGCATGAGTCTGCGTGAACTTCAGAGAAATCACAGACAAATGTTCTCAGGAGAGAATGAAAGAAAGGACAAACACACCGAGTGGAAGAAGAAGAAGAAGAGGAGGAAGAGGAGAAGGTGATGAGGCAGAGGCAGTTCCTGACAAGGGAGGAGACACAGGGAGGAGCAGAGAGGAGGACACACAGCAGGAGAGCCAGTGCTGGCCTTGGAGCCCTGACCAACACACAGAGGGAAACCTGTGAGTCCAGTCAGGTCCAACAGCTGTATGAATCCAACAACAACACATCCCTGGTTTAGCCTGCTGGTCTAGGCAGCCTATAAACCAACACACCCCTGGTCTAACTAACTGTACAAAATCAAATGCGCCCCTGATCTAGTCAGCTGCATAAATCAAGCGCACCCCTGTGGAGACAGCTTGTCCAGCCAGCCGCTGATGACGGGTGGTGCTCTCTCGGTCAGCGAGGTGTAGCTGGCGTAGGGGGAGATGGTCAGGTCCTCATCGGCCTCTAAGTGGAAGGGGTGGGGGGGCAGAGAGAGGCAGCGTGGGGCGGATGGGGCATCTCCAACTGTGCTGTAACCCTGAGAGTCTCCGGGGTGAAGAGCCTGAGACAAACGCTTCGTCCACAAGAACCGGTGACAACTGTGAACAGGTACGAACCAAACTTTATTGACACAGCAGACAGTGAGACCACACGAACAAGAACCTGGATCCAGGTCCAAACAGAGCAGCTGTCTTACCCATGATCCTCTGCATGTTTCTCCTCATCCCGCCTCGCCTCCCGTCCCTCCACTCTGCTTCTTTCACTCTGCAGGACAGATTATCAGAGCAAAACATGTATGTCATGTTCCACCGGATGTGACAGACCGGAGGCAGGTTGGTGGCAGGTTGGTGGCAGGTTAGTGGCAGGTTGTTGGCAGGTTGGTGGCAGGTTGGTGGCAGGTTGGTGGCAGGTT